AGCCCGCCGTCGCTGCCGCCGCCGGTGGTCGAAATATTTTTTTTTCTCGCTCGTGTCTGTGCGCGCCTCGGGCTTCGTTCCGGTTGGTCTTTCGAGGCTCGTTGATCTCTTGTGATCTCCCGACAATTAATCCACGATCACAACACAAAAAATATAATTTACAAAATTACATAATCCGATCCTAGATCCAACGAATGGATGTACATGTTTTCTAAACAAAATAATTAAATCTATCCGGTCAATCCCCAGACGAATAATTACTACAAACATTCATCCATCAAATTCCTCGACATGTCCGAGGCTTTAAAAACAAATTTAAAACCATACATTACATTCATCAACATTCATCAAACACATAATCATTCATAATAGTGGATTAAACTAATTCCTGCAAAACCAAGTTATGCGAATATAATCCAATATATGGCTGCGTTTTAACACATCTTGACAAATAAATCCGTAAAAATTTGAACTTGTACACAACGAATTAAACCAAGCTCTGATACCACTTGTTGGGATCAATGAAGATCTCGTTATGCACAAATCACGAATTCAATATGTAATATCCCGATATTTTATCGGTATAAATTACGTTTTAATTCCGATGTAATAATGTTTACGTTTATTATTTTCGGAATTAATTAAGTTCAGTCGGAATTACCGAAATCTATTTTCGACGTACCGTTTACGTCCGAAATAATTTTGGTAATTAAGAATTATGTTTAATTAATAGTTAAACATAAGGGTTAGTATGTAATTGTGATTAATATCATTATTAAGCCCTAAGACCGTAGCCTTAGGGAGAAATTCTCCAAATTTTTATCAAAAAGCCGTAGCCTTTCTTAAGGCTTAGGAAACCAAAATTTTCTTCTCTTTTTCAACATGACACGTGTAAAATGAGGTGGATGATTGGTCATCAAGTTAAACATGAGGATCAAGCAAGTGGCAAGTTCTTTTTAAGCCACACAACACCTACATCATTCCCCCTTGCACGGCTTAAGTTTATAAGGAGGGATTTGGGGCGAAATTCCTCACTTTTTCTTAAGGTACATTCAGCATCTATATTCCTCCCCTTAGCAGCATATATCCTCTACAGAAATCAGCAGCAAAAAGCTCCCTTTTATTCCCTATTATCCTCCCTAAATCTCACGGCAAGCTTGGTACCGCTCGGAGCACACGCGAGGAAGGAGGCACGCCGGATTTTCCGAATTCCGTCGAGTGATCAGTGAGGTAATCCCCCTCCTCAGTTCATGATTATAGTAATTAGGTCAGTTCAGAGATAAATGTTCGGATGAGTTTAGAGAACTTTGAATAAAATCATGTAAAGGCCGAACGTATTTGAGTAATACTATAACCGAGCGAATTCCGATTTTCCCGACAACTTCCGAACTATTAATGCTTAATTGTTCAGCTCAGTCTATTTGATGTTTAGTAAGATCAGTTCCGTCGAAGGAAAATGAGTTTTTGTTGAAGTCAGGGCCCCAGCCGACGCCCGCGCCTATCGCGTGTGGCCTCGGGTGGCTTCGGGCCGAGAGTTGTTACCTTCAGTATTAATCATGTTGTTCGTGTGATTAAGTCTTAAATTGTTTTAGTATAAAGATCATGTCAAGTTGTTCTGAGGTTGTCGGATAATAAATTAGTTTGGCCGAGAGGCGGCACATATCCGTCGGCGGTGTACGGGCGTCCGCCACGGTCATTCTTACGTTCAGCATGCGTTAGTTCGTGATCAAATCTCAAATGATGATTTCAGTTATATTAAGTCCAGTTAAGTTAATTGGTCAAGGTACTTGGTAGATTGGTCGAGAGAGGGCCGAAGGCCGTGGGCCTCGCACGTCGCGAGCGCCACGGCCGAGCGTTAGGACCGATCTTCAAGTTCAGTAATTTTTGGTTAAATTCAGCTTAATGATCATATAAGGTCATAAAGTGTTCAGTTAAGTCAGTTTGG